TGGAAGCAAGTAGTAGAATTGGAGGAAGAGTTTGTTCCGATGCCGAGAGAGGAATTGAAATTGGAGGTATGTTCATGATGAAATTGTCCCATATTTAAATATTTAAATATTCGTGTGGGAAATATTTAAATATTCATGTGAAAATTATGAAAATTATAATGTCAAATAATGTGTGAAATTGAATTGATGAAAAAATTCCATGACAGGTGAATTTGTTCATGGAGAAGGAAGCATGTTGTGGGATGTGATGGTGAATCAATTGAAAGTTCCACTCAAATTTACTCATGATCTTTCAAAGGAAACTCCAAAGGAATGTGGATTGGGAATGTTGATTGGTAGGTTTTCTTCCAAATGAGTTTAGGATGACATCTATTCGTATAATACTAATAATTATTCAAAACAGATGGTAAAATTGTTGAAATGGATAGTCCAATATTCCAAAAGGTTTTGGAAATTCTTGGACAATTGACTGCTGATGATGAATTAAAATCATCTAAGGATATGACTTTGAAGGAATGGCTCATTTGGAGAGATGTTCCACAACAATATCACTTGTTGATTGATTCAATTCTTGCTCAAACCAATTCAAGCTGTCTCCATACTCACAGTGCTAAGGGAGCTCAAGAAGAAGATTTGAATGGTGAATCCAATCCTCAAATTGGTTACGGAAATTATCACATTCAAGGAAAGAATACTATGGAACATTCATTAATTCCATACTTGACCAAAAATATCAAGAAGAATCAAATCAAATTGAATTATATTGTTCAATCCATTGATTACAGTTCTAAATTAATCAAAATTAATGGAGGAGAAATTACCTGTGATAAGATTATTCTCACAGTTCCATTGACCACATTGAGAAATCGTTTGATTCAATTCACCCCTGAATTGTCACCATTGAGAAAACACTTGATTCAAAATCAATTCCACATGCACGGAGGTTGCAAGATTATTCTCGGTTTTAAGAAACCATTCTGGAAGGATCAAATTCCAAATGTGAATGTTGTCTGTGTGGGAGATCAAGATCCACTCATTTCTCAATTCTGGTTCTCATCCACATCAAAGGAACAAACTGAAAAATATGGACATATCATTACTGGTTTCTCAATGAGTAATAGAGCTGATAATGGACTGATTTTGGGAGAGGAAGAAATCAAGGATCACTTTAGAAAATTCATTCAAAAGACCTTTGATTTAAATGATAAAAATGATGGATTCATTGGTGGAAAGATTCGTAATTGGCAAGATGTTCAACACGTTGCAGGCGCCTATTCATTTGCCTACACAAGTGACTCATCGAGAAGAAACTATATTAAAAATCCAAGAGTTCTCCTCTCTCAACCAATTGATTCCAAGCTTTACTTTGCCGGAGAATTATACTGTGCTCACTCTCCTGCCACTATTCACGGAGCTATGGAAACTGGAAGAGATGCTGCTTTGAGATTGATTAATGAAAGTTCTCCTCAAAGAGTTAGCAAACTTTAAATTAAACACAATTTTCAAAATCAAAAACCTTAACCATTATTCTTCTTAATACTATTAACAGATTACAACATACTGGTGAGAAAAAAATGCAACATTGGTTAGTTGGTGATTTGATATCTGTGATTGCTCCATTCCTCTCCGTCCGAGAGAGGATAATCTTTACTAGAATCAACAGGACATGGTATCATACAATTCACATGTTGCAAAATATGTGGAAGGATGTTTATTGCAATTTATATCAATTTGATAGGACTGTTGATCCTTTTCCAATAGATGATGACTGTGATGATGAAATGGACAATGAAAATACGGATTGGTTCAAAAAGCTATGCACTTGTTTCAACAAGTTCCCTAAAAAGATTAAAATTGAAATCAAAATGGAAAACTCGGAACAAATAATATCATCCAAAAAGTTTGATTCTACATGTTATGGAAATATAAATCTAATATTTCCATGGAGTTTGGACATTCTAGAGGGTAAAATTGAAAGATATCAAATGGCATTACAAGATGGCCAAGAAGCTGATCTCTGTGTATTCCAAGAATGTTCCACCTATTTCCAATTCAATTTTAATTTGAGAGAATACTATGATGATATCAGATCTATTCATGGTGCCCAGGCAGCACGTTCCAAGCTAAAGAGCATTTACACTTGTTGTTTGTTCTATGAAATTATGAGTTTGGGACATTATGTTCCCAATCTCTTTCAAGATCAAGCAAGAATACATCCTTGCTCACTTTCTTCAGAGAATAGCACTCGAGTACCACTTGCTACTCTACTATTTGCCACTCTCAATGATTGCTATCCTTGGGAGGATCTAGAGGATTTAGATTACTGTAATATTTCTCCAAACTTTGATGGTCCTGCTTGTTTGTGGTTATCGAGTGATAAATTCATGGAAATTATAGAGTCAATCTATTTCGACTTTGAGGAGAAGGAATTTAATCAATTAGAGAAGGAAACATTCAAGGCATTTGGTAGAATTGATGGTCAAAGTCCGTCTTT